TCTACTGAAGTGGAAATAAACCAAAGCATATGCAGATTGATTAGATATCCACATGCAGATCGTACTCTGGGTTTGTTTAGCCGGGGAATTGTCCACAAATGTGTGGGTTTTGTTGATTTTGTTTGAACCTATCATATTCTAGGTTGGAAAATGTAGACGTCAAACTACTTCAGTGGTTTTTAGAGCATAACGTGCTCCGTTTTCTGGAACACACGTAACTTTAAGATAACAGACGGTGGTTAAAGTTAGCTTCCTATTTAATCTGATTTGAAGGAGGCCCGCAGCATGATGCTGCGTCTTTCGATTTTATCCAGTTAACTAGCTTTAACAGGTAGCCTGATAAACCAGACTAAATGTGAGATTAAATGTGTAATTTAGTCTGACCCCGATGAATGAGACATTGGAAGTAGTCGATGAGAACAACCCTTTGTTTTTCAAACCATGTCTGTGCCTATTGGCCAACACTCTGACCAATGAGTGCAACTGACTGTGATGTAGTAAGAGCGACAGAAAGCTGGTGGGGGAGCGGAAACAAATAGCCTGTCGGTAAAATGCCGAATACGTCCTTCTTAAAAATGAATGAGCGTAGAGCCTCTTCCTGTTCACGTTTCAATGAAAACCCAAAGTCAAATCCTTCCAAAACTGATTCTAAAGCTGAGTCAAACGAGAACGGTTCAATAGTTGTTGCCATCTTCCTTGTTGTGTTTTCTCCAGCGTTGTGCAGCTATGTCGTCCCGCCCTCAAAACCCCGCCCGCTTTGCATCCAAAAACACATCTCTGCGTTATGATTGGCCAGTAGTTCGAGGGCCTAGGGCATAGATCGAGGCTAGACCACTCGCACGCTAAAATGATTTTCGCAGCTGACGGGTGGGGCTAGTTCATTAGGCTATTTAACACTAGGACTCCCAGAATTCTGATCCTACTAGAACTCCCACTGGCCGTCAATTTGACGGGTGACATTTTTCCCAATGGAAAGCAAGAGTAGTGATGATGTCATTTACTTAGATGGTTCTAGTGTGCAATATAAATATATATATAATGGGTTTATATAAATATAAACCCATTGTGGACATGTAAACCTTAAAACAGGTCTGATATATAATTTTCAATGGCTGTATTGTATGCTACTATTATTTGTGTTCTAAATTTATATCAAAAATAAATTTGTAAAGTAAGACTGTTTTACTACACACAACAAAAAATGCCTTCTAAAAAATAGGAAAAAAAATATAGTGTTTTAAGTGAATAATTGCTTATTTTGAGCAAAATAATCTGCCAGTGCAGCGAGCAAATGAGACTTCTTAAAACAAGAACATAATATCCGAGTTGTAAGCATCCAAAAAAAACTTCAATCAAGTTTCTTTTACTCGTTAAGATTTTTTTTCTTATTTTAAGCAATGTATTGTCATTTATTAGTCATTATTGCTTAGAATTTAATAACCTCTAACCAATTATTGCTCAAAACAAGCATACAACAGGCTTGAAAACAAGGCAAACGTATTTGATACCAGTTCATTTAAAGGCTTAGAACTAGTCTGTTTTTCTTAGCTAGAATTCATTTCATTATTTAGGTGTAGTAAATATATGGGAAAAATACACTTGACAAAATCTTCAAAACGTTTTTTTTTTAATTAATATTTTAGCAGAAATGTCACAGAATTAAGCGAAATACAAGTAAAAATGTACTCACAGTCTAAATGTTTACACGACTCAGTCTGCAATGTGTGCTATTTTAAGAAAAAAGCTGCTCAGAATTAGTTGTATTATCTAGTTAGGATGAAAAAAGTGAATTTTCTTAAAACAAGTCAAATAATCTTAACAATATTCAGTCCTACTAAGAAAATACTTTGAAAAACAAGTGTAATATGACCAAAATCCCGAATTCAAGTTTATGACACTACACAGATTTTCCTTTTTTGGAGTGCATAGGTTCAAAGTTTGAAATTACAATTATTTTTACAGAAATTGATTGATTCCCCCCAAACATTTCCCGCTAAGCACCTTTTCACATTTTTTATTTTTTTTTTGTGCATCTGTTTTACCAGTTCAAGGATAAAATATCTGCGTGAGATGGTGACATTCAAACAGCTCCACAACAAAACCAACGCGTTTATAGCTAACATGTCCAGGAGATCGTAAAATACAGCCGCAGGCAGGCCACCTTTGCGTTGGATCCGACACGTCCACCCCGACCTGTGTGTGATTAAAGTAGACCACAGGCTCTGGTTTGGCTTTTGAGCCACAGAGTGTACCAGCTGAGGTGTGGGCAGTGCTAACCAAACCTTGAACAAAAGTATTACTATTGTCTGATAGGTCAGTGATACGTCTACGTTTTCCCATGAGGTGGGTGATCATCCTCGGACTCGCTGTCAGAACCCGAGCCGCTTCCTACCCAGTCCTCCTCATCGGTCTCTCCCCCCCCGCCCGAATCGCTATCGTCAGCATTTCTAAAGCCTGTTTCGCTGATAGATTTTCACTGAAAGCCATTTTTCCGTATTAGCTATTAGCTATCCGTATTATCTAGGTAGGATGTTGGTTGCTAGGCAACGGTACCGGGAAGAATTTACAATGCAACTAATAGCGCCGTCAAAATGATGGTTGTGGGAGATCCAGGTAAAATTAACCATATTTATTTTTTAAGTTTTTATTTTATTGAAAAAAAAAAAAAAACAACATGAAAATGTAAGAAAAATAGAAACAGAAAAAGTCAGTTAACAAGAGCAAAATAAGAATAATTTTAAATAAAGTTCTTTCCCTTTAAAATCTCAGAATGAAGGCCTTTGGAGTTCTATTGTTAAGGTATTCCACTGACAGCAACAGAGCCACACAGCATTATGCTGCCACCACTATGCTTTTACAGTTGGTCCAGAGTTAGCAGCTTTTAAAGTAAACTATTCTAACTTTATTTATATAAAGCCTTGCAGGGTTAAAGATCACCGAATGCCTCACATTCTCATTTTTTCAAAAGATGTGTTAACAAATGCAGATGTAAAAAAACTACATTTTTTTTAAAGGAAGCTTCTGAATCTGTTTTTAGCTCAGTGTAGGCGGCAGGCCTTGATCACAGCCCCTCTGGGACCCACTCTGGATCTTTAGATGAAGCAATGCTCTGATAAAAACCTGAAGAGCTCTCCAAGTGAGAGAAATAATCCTGAAATTAAATTCTAAACACCCTGTAACTGATCTAAATAACCCAAGCAGGATCAACCAAAGCATGAATCATTCCCAGTTCAGGATAAGAGACTGGAGCAATGTTTGGCTTTATATCTGTAAGGATAAAAAACTGGATCAAACCAGACTGGACTGGATTATCCAGAGTTAAACTTTAGCTTGTCAGGATTAAATGTCCCTGTTACGTGAGGTTTAGGCTTTGGGTATTTCTACTGTTGTTCTCAGCATCTTAACAGCTGCTTTCATCTGATGATTACTGTTTGCCTAATTTAATGTTACACCGATTACAAAATAAAAAATGTGGGATGGAGTCATGGTGGTGGCAGCGTCATGCTGAGGGACGGGTTTGGTTCCATGGCACTGATGGCTTATAGAAGTGGGAGGGAAACCTCTGAATTCTCCATTTTTACCTTGACTTCTTACTAAAAGGAAGAAAGTTTGACAGAGTTGGGTAATCCAACAAGACGAGGATCCCAAAAACCAACAATTGAAACCAACAATTAAAACTACAATTTAATCTCAAAGTGCTACAGAGATTAAAATAAAAAAATAAAGATAAAAATAATAACAATAGTAATAATAAAAAATAAAGAATAAATTGTAGGGCCCACAGCAACACATCTCGCACCAAGTGGTACCAAAACCAACAATTGAAACCAACAATTAAAACCACAATTTAAAACAAAACGTACAGTTCTAAAAGGCCTGTTTAAAAAGGTGAGTCTTAAGACCTTTTTTAAAGGCCTCCACACCTTGTGGGGCTCTCAGGGACTCTGGAAGGGCATTCCAGAGCCGTGGAGCTACTGCCTGAAAAGCCCTATCCCCCATAGTGGCAAGTTTGGTCTTAGGTTGATGCAGGCAGTAAAAGGAGGTGGAGGAACGAAGCCTTCGAGAAGTAGCGTGCGATGAGAGGAGTTCACTAATCATTAAGATTATTGAACATCATTTTCTTGGTCTAAAGTCCCAGAGATGCTGTTCAACTGACAGGATCTGATTTAACATGCGATGTCAGAGACTTAAACCACATATATATTACGTGGGTGTATTTCAATAGCTGCCTAATAGAGATAGAATGACACATCAGCTGTAGGATGATGGCTGATTGAATGAGCAGCAATCCTTGACATCATGTGGAGCGCATGCTTGGTTACTTCATTTGCCGTGAATTGTTAATATTTGGTTTGATTTGTTTAGATCATTTTGACCACGTAAATGGAGGATGAAAAAGCAAACTTGACTCTGAGAATCAGCACAAGAAATATTGACATCAAATATGGAAGAAGGGTTAGTCTGATGCCATAATAATTGGTATCAGGATCCACCTTTAAAAGCCTTTATTGGTGGATCTGTAAACATTACCTGATCCTTTAGTAATTCAGGGTGGGTGAGTAGGTAAGTATCAAATAATACACAAGTTTTAAAACGACAACAAATCCTATATTTGAGCAGATCCTAATAGGAAGAATCCATCTGTCTGTCCTTAGAGTGGTGTGTTCTCCTCCACATGTCCTTGCGCTTGTTTTAAAGCTATAGGGCTCATCTGTCTGCTTGTATTCCTTCCGATTTGACTGAGAGGAAACCTGCAGACTGTATAAAAAGCTCCTTGCAAACAGCCTGAGAGGCTCACAGCGCAGCCGGTGAAGCCCTCCCTTCCATCTCTGCCGGCGGTGGACGGCTGTCCAACCAAACAGCGGCGACTTGTTTCGTAGAGGACGGGCTGAGCCGACAGGCGTCACCGCTGCACAGTCGAATGGTGCAGGAAGCTTTGGTATTTCTGGCTGCAGGATTACGTTATGTCACGAGATGGATTGGTAATCCTGCCCCACGTGTGTGTGTGTGTGTGTGTGTGTGTGTGCACGCGCGCGCTCTGATATGATCTCTAAGCACAGCAGCAATAAGCTCGGGTTAGTGCCGCCCACAGAGATGAAGGGAGCTCAATGTCAGGCCGATCGGATGCATTTCATTTCTTTAGTGTTTTTCATTCTTTTTTTCCAACTGCTTCCTGTTTCTCCCTGCAGCCACGTCCAACCCGTTCTCCCCGAAGCCGCCGCTCCTCAGCACCCTGCTGTACTCCCTGGTTCCCATCATAGGTCTGGCCGGAGTCGTCCTCTTCTCCTTCTGGATGTGGCGGCACCACAAACTGGCCTACCCTGCGGCGCTTGTCCCCACACATGTAAGTCATTTCCAGCTCCCCTGTCTGTCAGTCAGCTGGACAGCAGTGTCCTTTCTGTTTGTTTACCCATTTAACTTTATCTGTTAACTGCGAACACTGAGGAAATATAAACCCTCCCAGTTCCTCTCAGATTAGTTGCTTCCAGCATAAATCTCCTGAAGACAGAAGAAAAGCTCAGCAGTTAAACCAGGGATTGTTTTTGTCTTTGAAATTCTCTTTATTGACATCCTTAAGACCAATTTATGCTTCTGACACTTAGCCTCTGCAACCGTCAAGCCTGTCTCTGTCAAAAAAAAATCCTGACGACACGTTGGACGCTCGCAAACCCACGCAGACCTCAAGCGGAAGTGCGCAGACAAAAAGGCTGTCTGTGTGGTCATCCTTCTCGATTCAAGGGGGCGCCATTTTTAAAAACCGAGGAGCAACTACAATGGACAACAATGACAAAAGGTTAATCGAGGAGGTTCGGAAGTGCAACCATTTGTACGATGCCTCAGAAAAATTATTTAAAGGTGCCAAGGTCTCTGCCAACTTCTTGGAAGAGATTGTGAGATAAATAGGTGAAGTTCTCGCAAGTTCCTGAAAAGGCTCCCCTTTGCACTTTGCCGTGAAACTGCTGCGCTTCCCTAGAATTTCCAGACCGACGGTGCAGAAGCATACCAGCAAAACTGGTTCAGGACCAGACCCAAGCGACATTTGATGTGTGCGGTTGCAGAAGTCTAATCTGCCCTTTATACTTCAATACTGGAACAAAATGAAACTTAAATAAGCCAATTTTCTTTTAAATAAGATAATTGTTCTTCAACTGAGCAGGAAAGTGAAACAATTTGCCAATGGAATAAGAAAATTTACATTTAAAATAAGAAAAACAACTGCTTTGCCTTCTTTTAAGTGCAGAAATACTTATTCAATTGGCTTATCATCTTATTTACCTGCTCAGGTTAAAAGCAAACACACTGAATGTTGGACATTTTTACTTCTCTTTAGATTGTTTTTGCAGCGTCCAGATCTATTTTTAGAAAGACAATGATCCACACACTCTCTCTTCTATTTCTTACAATTTCGGGTTTTACATTAACAATCTATTCATCCAGACTGACTTAACTGTGTATCATAGTTTTTTTTCTTTCCCTCCATTCTTCACCTTTAACCTCTGAACTCCTTGTTTCCAGGTCAGATATGTCCCCGGCTTCAGTCGCAGTTGTTTTCAGTATTATTTGGGTTTATTTGTCACACTGAAACTAAAGAGACTGCAAGGTTTCCACAACCTGTAATTGATCTTGCTGCACTGCCACAGCTAAATAAAAGCAGCAAGACCTTCAAAAAGAGGAAAAAAAAAAGAATAAAGTTATGTTAGAGTTTAAAATGAATTCAAATGTAATTAAAAGTTATAATTTGTTTTTATAGCAGAACGGCTTCTGCCAATCTTGATGTAAAGCTAGCTAGTTTATAAGGCTAACTAAGCGCTGCGCTGCTTTGGGGACTTTTGAGTATTTTCAAGTATTTTTTTTCTTTCTTTAAAAAAGTGACTAGTAAAAAATCTAGTGACTTTTCTCTTTGTTTTTAGTGTGTTTATCTACTTCACATTAAAGCAGCAATCGTTCTACCATAACTGTCTCACAGGCAGTTGCTTCGTCCTGAAAGCGGCGCAGTCTGCTCTGCTTTCAGCTAATATATAATGCATTTGCAAAGCTGCCATTGATTCCATCCTGGATTAAAAAGAGGATATAAATTAAGTGTAAATATAATTTTAATCCAGTCTTTTTTTTTTTCTGCAAATCTCTTGAATTCAAATGATTACCGCAAAGCTTGAAAAGACTTATTCACTTTGTAACGCGTGAGCAAAGTATTGTGGAGTTAAAAGTGAGGCCTTCGCTCAGGTCCTGTACGATTGGGTCTAAATTCCTCTACAGTAATGTAAAAGCGATTAACAGATAACAGCGACCTTGGATAGCTGCTGCTTGAAGTGCTTTTTCAAGCTTTTGCAGCTGCTTTTTATCATGATTGCGCGCTCACACTGGTGGGAACCTTTGTACCTTTATGCAAATAAGAAGGAATTCCTAGAAATATGTAAAAAAAAAAAAAGCCGTGAAATAGGAACCATGACTGAACTTCCTGGAATTTGCTTTTTCAGAAGGTTCCGTTTCTATTTATTCAAAAATTCTCTCTCAGAGCCACGCATTCCCCCTCCGACTTTGAACTGAAGACAAACACCAGAGAAATACTGACAAATTCTTCATGCAGGTCGAGTTCAAATCAAAGTGTTGTCGCCTTCACCTGATGGAGCTCTTTCATTCCTCCACCTCATGGCTCCCTTTAATGTAAAAAAAAAAAAACGTCATCGTCTGAACCTCTCTCTGCCTGTTTGAAACGTTTCAGGCAAATAAACCGATCCTCCAAAAAACTCTGGATTTAATGCAGCTTGTTTTTGCAGCAGAGCTATATTCTCAGCAGCTCGGCAGCAGAGGGAAGAACGGCAGAGCTTTCTAGCGTATGGAAGAGGAGTCAGGGGCCTCTGCATTATTGATGAGGCTTTATATAGGCAAACAAAACTAAACACAGAGAGAAGCTCGCAGCTCTGCCTCCGAGGATGGAGGTGGTGGGTGGG